CCACCCCTAAGTGGTGGTGAAAGTTCTCTGTTTATAATCATTTACCGAATTAAATAAATTACAAATAATATAGAAAGAACAATAAATGGATACAAGCACAAATATGATAACTATGGTAAGCCGTAATGCTAAATATTTGCCTGTAATAAAAAGTCAAATATAGAGTCAAATATGATACCTATGGTAAACCGTAATGGAAGGTTAAATATCATACAAGATATTTGCCTATAATAAACGGTCAAATATGCTACATATGGTAAATCATAATTCAACGGATATTTTTGTTGTCTTAATTAGATCTGCTCTTGCATTCAGGTAGAGCATATAATCAGAGAAGAGAATATGATGGCTGCTCAGGAAATTCTTGAATTGTTTTGTGAGCTTATTGTTGTTCGCCTTCCAATTATTGAAACACAAAGGTAAATTTTCAGTGCTTTCATGGATTCTAAATGAAACTGAGTGAACTATGTTACAGTGCTTTCATGGATTCTTGCCCTTCATCCTGCAGAATTCGGTTTGAAGCGGATAGCTCGACCTTTAAAAGCTTTCCACTATATCTAATATATGTGAACTTTAATTAATGAAACCCTTTTCTCTCTTTAGTTTCATTGATAATGTGAAATTACAAAAGATGAGGAAGTTCTATCCATAGGATTTACGTAAAACTTTTGCAATAGGAAGTAAGAAAAGTTGGATCATAATTATAAAAGTTAGGGTACTTATAAAAAGATTACAACGATTATAATGGGAAAACGATACGAATAGGAAATGCTATGGTTGTTTACTGCCTATTTCTTATTCTTCTTCTTCCTTTTATTTTAAATAAAGATGACTAAATGAATGTAGCTTAGGGGTTAAGGAACACACTCCTTCCTTTGAGGTTCAAGTTTCAAATCTGTGAGATCCCACATCGGTTGAGGAGGAGAACGGAGCATTCTTTATATGGGTGTGGAAACCTCTCCCTAGTAAACGTGTTTTAAAAACCTTGAGGGAAAGCCCAAAGAGGACAATATCTGCTAGTGGTGGGTTTGGGTTGTTACAAATGGTATCAGAGTCAAATTCCGAGCGGTGTGTCAGCGAGGACTCTGAGCTTTGAAGGGGGTGGATTGTGAGATCCCACATCGGTTGGGGAGAAGAACGAAGGATTCTTTATAAGGGTGTGGAAACCTCTCCTTAGCAGACGCATTTTAAAAACCTTGAGAGGCTTGGACCGTTACAAAATCCCCATCCTCACCTTTGTTGTGCTGAAAAAATGACTAAATGAGTATAGTTGTTAATGTTTTGCATTTATAAAATAAAATTTAAAATATTTGGTTGAGGATTTCCTTTATAATTTGTGACTTAGCAGATGCATCATTAAGAAACATGTACTTAATGTCCCTTATGGTTGAACCTACAGTCCCTTATGGTTGTTGAACGCAGTGGAGTTTTCTCAAATGTGTTTCTTGTCTAATTGAAAATGGCTTGTGGCCCTTTTTCTTGGGTTATTTTCGTCTTTGTATAACTATGAGTATTATCCCTATATCTGCTCTACTGCTCTTTTGATTGATACAAATGCAGATTAGAAATATGGTGTTACTTCGCTTTAAAGTTCGAATCGATATTTGCATATGAAGAATTTTTGTGAATTACGTAAAGAATATTCTTCCATACGAGTTTGGACTAATGGAGATCCATCCTACAATGATGGAAGTTAAGTCTTAGAATAGAGTGTTCATTGTTAACGAGCTAGTTGTTCAACCCGATCGTCCAATTTCTTCTGCTCTGGATGATTTAAAACACCAAGCCTTGCAAAGTGGACATTTAGTTCTTTGAGGGTGATTGCTAAACCTACAAGAAACTGATTAGTTTGCGTTTCCCAATTCACAAAACTTCTTGGTTAACCATCAAGCTCTCCTTTCCTGGCGAAAATCCTTGTGGTCTTTCGGATAATAGATTCGTCCTAAGTTACTTGAAACGCAAAAATACATGTCCAAAGTCCTATCTTTGTTAGGAATCACGAACCTCCACAACAGTATGATACTGTTCACTTTGAGCATAAACTCTCATGGCTTTGCTTTTGGTTTCCCCAAAAGGCCTTGTACTAGTGGAAATGTATTCTTTACTTATAAACCCATGATCAATCCCTTAATTAGCCGATGTGGGACTCCTCTCCCAACAATCCTCCCCTTGAACAAAGTATATCATAGAGCCTCCCTTGAGACCCATGGAGCCCTCGAACAACCTCCCCTTAATTGGCTTGACTCCTTCTCTGGATCCCTCGAACAAAGTATACCTTTTGTTTGACACTTGAGTCACCACTTGAGTCACTTTTGACTACACCTCCGAGACTCACAACTTTTTGTTCGACATTTGAGGATTTTATTGACATGACTAAGTTAAGAGCATGATTCTGATACCACGTTAGGAATCACGAACCTCCACAATGGTATGATATTGTCCACTTTGAGCATAAACTCTCATGGCTTTGCTTTTGGTTCTCCAAAAGGCCTCATACCAATGGAGATGTATTCCTTACTTTAAACCCATGATCGACCCCTTAATTAGCCGATGTGGGACTCCTCCCAACAATCCTCAAAGTCTTACTCGATATTCCATATTGTCTCATTTTTATTTCATCAAGTTCAATGTGATTTTGGTATCTGTATTCATAAATGCTATGTCTTTCTATGCCTTTTCATTCCAATTTCACTTTGTTTCTTATGGTTATTTTATCGAAACGTATGCCTCATTGTACTTTATTTTTGTCTTGAATGTCATAGTGAACTGTCAAAATTTTCAGGGAATGTCCTCTAGACTTGAAAGAAGCAATCTCGAGTGTGTGTTTTGCTGCTCCAAGGTGTGCTGATCTTACAGAGCTTCTCCAGGTTCAGTTGCTTTTTGCTGTTAAATATGGGAAGGAATTTGTATCAGCTGCAACAGAGCTTATGCCTAACTGTGGCGTTAATCGTCAGGTTCGTAAAATTTCTTGTTTACGTTTGATTAGTCACAATCGCACTTTGATGGCAGCGGACTTGCGATTGTGCGGCACTCACTTCTCAGCAGCAAGTGAGTTAAGCCTATTCGTTCTTGTGTCGCTTACGGCCAAGCGACGTATGCTTGAGCCTCTAGCCCCAGTTCAAGAAGAAAGTTTTAGAAAACGGGGGCAGAGAGATTTCAAAAGAGAGCTTTGAAAGCAAGAGTTGAGAAATTGAAATTGGTGTTATATGAGAATGTAAGCAAAAGACGACAACAACGGCTTACTGCATATAACTATCGGGTGGAGGGATAGAAAGAAAGCGCTTTGCTGGCGTCTATAGAATTATATATTTCCTCTTAATTTTGATTGCAGCTGGTAGAGCTGCTTTCTGTTCGTGCTCCTTCACCCGAGAAGAAACTGAAGCTCTTAAAGGAAATCGCCGAAGAACACGACGTAGATTGGGATCCTGCTGGAACTGAAGCCGAGTTTAACAAATCACCAGAAGATTTGCTTGTAAGTGTTGCTTCTTTTTGTTTGTCTCAACTTGTGGTGACTCTTTATGCCTTAGTTTCTGCTCTTTCTTTGCAGAATGGATCGGCACAGTTCGTCAGCGCATCAAAATTACCCCTTCCTCAAGAGAAACACAACGAAGCATACAATGCACCACAACCTGATTCTGATTCTGAATTGGACATGTTAGACTTCCCTGAAGTTCCAAAGATATCAGTTTCTCCACATTCTACTATAGATCCTGGTTCTGCTTCATCTATGATCCCTCCTCCGTCAACATCGCCACCGCCTGAAACTACTCATGATTCATCGAAGTATTCTTGTATTCCTGAAACCCCACCAGAAGACTTACAATTGAGACGTGGGGAGGTGACACCGGTACGATCTGTTTCACCCAGCAAGGATCAAATGAATATTTCGGTTGGGGAAGATAAACAGTTTTTGCCTTTTATAGCTCCCCCATCAAGGACCCCTGAGGAGAAGTTTAGTTTCAAACCACAGTTCGAACCCGAGATAAATTCACCACCACCCTCGGTTTCAAGGACACCTGATGAGAAATTTGGTTTGAAGTATGAACAGGAGATAATTTCACCCCCACCCTCTGCTTCAAGGACAAAGAGTGATGTCAGTTTGGATTTGCAGGACGTGTTGGCAGCTGCTCAGGCTGCTGTTGAAACCGCCGAGCGTGCTGCTGCTGCAGCTCGCTCCGCAGCTAGTTTAACAAAGGTTAGAATCGACACACTCACAATGAAAACGAACGATCAGGGCCCTGAAATTTGTTGCGAGAATCCGTTCCATGGAGGGCCCTGAAATTTGTTGCGAGAATCCGTTCCATGGAGCTACTACAAGTCCACCAGATCATGAACAAACATTCCACCTAAACCAACAAGATTCTATAGGGCATCATCATTCTAGCTCTATGCCATATTATTCACAAGATTCTTTCCAAGAACATCACAAAGAAAGCCCTGGTTCAGATGTTTCCGACCACCACCGGTTCGAGTCGCAGAAATCGGGTTTCGACTCCTCTCCCGGTGATTCACCATCCGAACACATAACAATCCCCCATCAGCCCCAGAGGCTTCCATCGATGGACGACGACCCATACTTTTCGTACCCAAATTTATTTACATCACAGAAACCAAATCCAGGATTTGATCATTCATCAGCTGATGGTTCTTGATCTTCAGGAGGTATGAGTTCTATGCCATGCCTTCTTTACAAGACAAATTTGTTAGTATCTAAATACACGATCCACACGCATACATAAACTCACTAGATGGGCTCGTATGCATACACCGGAGTCTAACTACGGGCTAGCACACATTCACGTTGTTGGAAGCCACAAAGGGAAAGGAGTGTGTATCATCATGATGTATGCATCTGTACTAATCATACTGAGTATGAGGAAGTATCTCAATGCTCGTGACATAAGATATGCATAAAGTCTATATTAGATAATTAATTTTTCGGTGGGGCTCGGGTATTTCACTAAGAGCAAGTAAACATGTTTTATCCTACATACAACATTATATTGAAGTAGTTTCTTACAATTCCAAAACATCCTTAAAAAACATGATAAGGAGGCTATTAATATTGTAAAGTATTTGAATTTTAATTAGACCTCGTCAGCATTAATCGGTTTGGTTGGGGTCAAAAGGTGGCCGTAGAGAGTAATAAATGATTTGTTAATCACGTGTTAATTACATTGGCGTTTTGTGACGGCTATCTAATTCAATATTCAACTTAGTTTCAAATTCAAATTTTGTAACTTCTATAAAACCCTCCTTTTCTTTTGTTTTTCTTCTCAATTCGAAATACAATTCATTAAAATGAGTAGAATTACGGGTTCGGTTGGTTCGGTTGCTTGCCTCTTGTTTATTGGAACTCTCTTACCCGTCATTGTTGCTGTTGACCACGAGGTTGGAGGTGATTTTGGTTGGAACTTGCCTCCGATGCTCACCTTCTTCTCTAAATGGGCTCGTAATACCACGTTTTTTGTCGGTGACAGGCTAAGTAATAACTATCGATACCTATTTTTGTTTCTTCGTTCTTTTTTTGTTGATTGTTCTTACTTTTTTATTGGAAAAACAAACGAAAAGATATTTGATCATCATTTCTTAGTTCTTGCTCTATGATCTCTAAAATTTTTATGTAATATATATCTTTTAGATAGGGATGTACATGGGTTCGGTTTGAAAAATCTTCTAAACCAACCCAATTTGTGTTGGTTCGGTTGGTGCTCTGAACAATTTGAATAGAGTTCTTAACTCTATTCATAAGTCACAATGTGTCACTAACATTGGTTAAAACATCAAATTGTGAGATCCTACATTGGTTGGAGAGGAGAACGAAACATTACTTATAAGGGTTATAAGGGTGTGAAAACCTCTCTCTAACAAATGCATCTTAAAATCGTTAGATTGACAGTGATACATAACGGGCCAAAGCGAACAATATTTGTTAGTGGTGGGTTTGGGCTGTTACAAACGATATAAGAGGCAGACACCTGACGGTGTGACAACAAGGACGCTGGGCTCCCAAGGGAGGTGTATTGTGAGATTTCACGTTGGTTAGAGAGGAGAACGAAACATTCCTTATCGTGAGGTTGACGGCGATACTGGGTGGATCAAGTTAAGTTGGGTTGGTCAAGTTGATGGCGATATGTGTAATAGGGTAGGATTGAGTTGAGTTGGTCAAGTTGACCCGACCCAAATCGAAAGTAGGGTTTTCAAAAATGTCAACCTGTGAACTTACCCGAATTTTCAATTTTTCATAAACTCAACCCTACTCAAATCAAAACTAGGGTAGGATTGGGTTGGGTTGTCCCCCTATTTTCGGGTTGTCAACCTGCCAACTGACCCAAATTTTCAATTTTTCAAAAACTCAACCCTACCCAAACCAAAAGTAGGGTAGGATTAGGTTGAGTTATCACCCTATTTTCGGGTTGATTGAGTTGTTCTGACCAAGAAAATGTCAACCTACGAACTGACCCGAATTTTTTAATTTTCAAAAATTCAACCCTACCCAAACCAAAAGTAGGGTAGGATTGAGTTGGGCTGTCACCTATTTTCGAGTTGGTCAAGTTGATCCAACCAAAAGAAATGTCAACCTACGAACTGACCCGAATTTTCAATTTTTCAAAAAACTCAACCCTACCCAAATCAAAAGGGTAGGATTAGGTTGGGCTATCATCCTATTTTCGGGTTGATCAAGTTGACTCGACCAAAAAAACGTCAACCTACGAACTAACCCAAATCTTCAAATTTTCAAAAATTCAACCCTATCCAAACCGATAAAACCAAATCCAACTTAACTATTACGATCTCAGTTGTATAATCCAAGTTAATCGGACTACATGCCATATCAACATTAACGAAACGAGAAACAGAACTCTTAAACATCTCGAACATCATTACTATTTGTCGGTTTATCTTAACTAGAAATGTATATTTGTTTTACGATGTAGAATTTATACCACGAGCCAACGAGACACACACATACACCGAAGCCGAATCTCAAAAGGATTATGATGGATGCATAGAACAAGGAATAGTGTTTGATTCCACCATTATTTTAACCCTACACAATCCTCCTCGTCGTCGCTACTTTGTGTGCACTGATGGTAACCATTGCAACAATGGCATGAAATTTTCCATTGATGTCTTACCCAAAGCAACAACAACGCCCAATATGGCACTCAAAATTGATGTCTTCCCCTTGCTTCTCTTCATCACTATCATGGCTAATATGTTCTTTGTTTGAGATAGATCCTATTGTTCTTTTCAATTCTTGTATTTGTTATAAGTGTTCGTAGTTCGATTGAAGCTATTCTATTGTTTGATTACTTTTAAAGTTAAATTATACAAATACTCTCGAAGCTTCCATAGGTCGATCAAAGCACACCGAAATAAATAATCGAAGTAGAATGAAACACTTACAGTACACACTTTGTTGTCGTCTTAAATAAAATATACGATTGATTGCTATTTAAAGAAACAAAAACACTAATAATTCTAAGTAGATCCAATGATCGCTAATATATAGATGTTTCTAATAATCCGTGCACCCATGAATGAATTATGAGTTATGATCAAAGAACTGAATTTTAGTGCTTCCCGATTATGATTAGCCCCAAGAGATAGTCCAATAGTCCAAAAAGTCTTAGAAGTAATAATTTAAGTTATAAACCTTCAAGGTTCGCTTAAGTACTTAGTTTACCATTACGACATTCAAGAGAACTTGTGATAGCTTACCATGTCTATTAATGGTCGTGAACGGTATCACCAGAACGGAGACCGGTTCTTATTCACAGGGGTAAATTATTGTGCTACTAGGGACATAGATTTAGACATAATAGTGTCCCTACCCCGATCGATAAGTTCAAGTTTTAGTACGATCAAGCTTGATCCATATTGGGTTAGATAGACTAGTGTATCGATGCTAATTCATGTTAGTGTCCTTATCGTGAGTGAAAATGGTCATGGGTCTTTGAATAGGGCCTTTTGTAACGACTCAAAATTTTCTACTTAATTTAAGGTAATCACTGAATGCATATCATGAACATTGAATGCGGAAATACTTCATTTAAACTTTCATAAAACGTCATCTTCGTCTTAAAACATAGCCATGGACTTGCGTGTTTTGAAAACACCTTTAAAAAACGATACAACAAAAGACTAAATAAAATAAATAAACGTTTAAATTAAAAACATCCTATTCTAGTCTAAGTCTAAGAAAATAAATATGACTAACCTATACATGTGTCATGGTCTCGAGTTGCGATGTCGTCGTTAGCCGTACATGAATGACTATAGAGGTAGCGCGTGGCTTGAGTGTTTGAAGAAATACTAAGTGACCCCACTATTGGGGGTTAAATGCAAGGACATAAATGCAATGACGGGACCTATCATATCAGTCTATTTTCCTACAACATTACCCTAACGCGCAACTTGGATATGTACCATATACTCTATACACAACTCATGCGTGCAAGTATGGGCTCACTAGTCAGTTTGCACACCGCGGAGCCCCTTTTCTTATCGAGTGAGTCTGCTCTGGTAGCTCCTTATGCCGGACACCCATTAGAATTAGTAACTGCCACGGTAGAATTTGAAGATGGTGTAGAAGAAAGAAATATCTAGAACATCCCACGAACTTAGAAAAAATATATAATAAAATAGTGAAAAGTTCGAAAAATTGGTCAAAGTCAATCTTGGAGGAGTATTTTGGTCATTTTTGGGAAAAAGAAAGAAAGAGGGAAAGAGAAACCGTGGAGAGAAGAAAGTTTTAGAGAAAGGGAGGAGGTAAATAACCATCACCAACTTCGTCATGGCAACGAAGAGTCTGGTTCCGGTCGAGCTTCCTTTAAAAAACTTTCTCAGAACTTCGAGAAGAAGTATTATGGACTTTGGTATCGTCCAAAACCGTCAAGCAACAAAGAAGATCCAGAGTTACGTTTTTGAGTTTTTTGTTCTCGGATTTTCCTCAAGTATGTGAGGATTATTTGGATTTAGGGTTTGACGGCGTTGTTGAGTTGTACGAATAACGTCGTTGTTGTCAAGGTCATGGAACCGAAGCTAAGGTAGTTGCATTTATGTTTAAGTTGTAGCCATTAGGTTAGATCGTAACATTTTTATCACTTTGAACTTATTGTTATTTCGTTTCTACTATTTCATTGACGTTTACTTTTATTTGAAATGAAGTTTATGAATGTTTAAGAATATGACATCGTTTATAAAATAATTGAAACGAATTTTTCACACATAATAGACATGTCATGCATGTAGTGACGACCTTGTTTTTTTAATAAAAAAAAATACGGTCATATATATATTTCTCTTTTAATATTCTTCTTTAAGTTCAGAAGACTATGATGTAATTTTTTAATTTTGATTTTTTTTTAGGGAACTCGATCCCCAAGAATTTTCCTCAATGAATCCTAGTCACAGTTAGTCGAACACGACTCTCCGCAATAGTATGATATTGTCCACTTTGAGCGAACTCGATCTCCAAGAATTTTCCTCAATGAATTCTAGCCACTGTTAGCCGAACACGACTCTCCATAATGGTATGATATTGTCCACTTTGAGCATAAGCTCTCATGGCTAAGTTATATGCAGTAAGCGAGTGTTGTTGTCTTATGCTTACATTCCCATATAACACCAATTTCAATTTCTCAAATCTTGCTTTCAAAACTCTCTCTGTCCCCATTTTCTAAAACTTTCTTCTTGAACTAGGGTCAGAGACTCGAGCATACGTCGTTTAGTCGTAGGCGATGCGAGAATGAATAGGCTTAACGCACTTGTTGCTGAGAAGTGAGTGCCGCACAATCGCAAGTCCACTGCCGAAGCACCTGTACTTCAATCGATTAACCAAGCACGGGAGATATTCGCTGAAAAGATAGCCGGGATATTGAATGAATAAAAGAAGGGTCATAGACAGATGAGCCTTTGCGACCGTTTACAAGAGTGAATACCGAAAGAGACAATTCCAGTATAGGTTGGGCAAGTTTCCACTTGATGAAATGGGGTAAATGGCTGAGACAACGGGAAGGAATTCAAATGCCTTCCTGAACGGGGACCTACAGGAAGAAGTTACTCGATCTTCAAAGAAGACGACTTTGTTGGATTTCAATAATCGGCCAGGGAAAACACCGAGAGGATATTGTCGACAGGAGGTTGTTGGAAGAAAGATAAAATGCGTAAAATAAGAGAGAGAGAAGGACTGAAAGTTTTGACTGCTCTTCAAAATCCGGATGTTAAATCCTGTAAACAGATTTCCTATTTAAATACAATCTATCCTAAAAATGGGTGGAGAGTGGCCAACTGAATCTGTGCCACTTCCTAGAAAATTGACGTCTAAGAATTCGCTAATCCATTCGACGTGTTTGTCAAATGGTCAAAGGGAAATTAAATGTAAACGTGTGAATCTAAATAAGGAAAAAACAAAGGTTTTATCTAACAATCTCCTCCTAAAACCTGTGTTATATCTGCCTTATTATTTGAACTCCGATCTTTGAGCGAAGTTCTTCAAATTTCACCCGTGCCAGGGACTTGGTGAAAATGTCTCCAAGTTATTTCTCTGTTCGAATGAAATCAATCTTGATGAGCCCTCGATCTGCACATTCTCGAATGTAGTGGAATCTGATTTCTATGTGCTTGCTCCGGTCGTGCAAAACTGGATTTTTGATCAGGGAGATCGTAGCTTTGTTGTCTACGTATAGCATTGGTGGATCGCTTTCTCTCCCGATGAGTTCTTCCATTAGTCGTGCAAGCCAGATCCCTTGAGTTGCTGCCATCGAAGCGGCGATGTATTCTGCTTCGCAGGAAGACAAAGCAACTACCTTCTGTTTTGTTGATTGCCAGCAGATCGCGCCGCCTGAGAGAAAGTAGATCATTCCGCTGGTGCTCTTACGATCATCAACGTCACCGGCCATGTCACTATCGCTGTAGCCGACCAGTTTGAGTTTCTCCTTTCCGCTCCCAGCGCAGTATCTTACGCCCCAGCCTCTGGTTCCGGCTACATAGCGCAGGATGCGCTTGACAGCCACTAGATGCTCCTCCCTAGGTGCTTCCATAAACCTGCTCACATATCCAACAGAATATGCAAGATCTGGACGAGAGTTTACCAGATAGCGCAGACTCCCGACAATGCTGCGGTAATTGGTGGAGTCGACTGTCGTCGTAGTGCCGGCCTTCCTTAGTTGAAGTCGGGCCTCCATTGGCGTCCTGGTAGGATTACTGTTCACAAGCCCAGTTGTGTCCAGCAGCTTCCTCGCGTATGCACTTTGGCAGATGGAGATGCCGGAAGAGTTCTGTTGCACTTCGATGCCGAGGTAGTAGCTGAGCACACCGAGATCGCTCATCTCGAAGTTTTTCGACATCTCCTTCTTGAACCTTCCGAGGACTCCCACGTCGCCTCCAGTGATTATGAGGTCGTCGACGTACACTCCCACGATCAGTCGCTTTTTGCCGTGGCCGTACGTGTACATGCCATGCTCAGAGGCACAACGTTTGAAATTCAGTGACAGTAGGGTACTGTCGAGCTTCGCGTTCCAGGCTCGTGGGGCTTGTCGAAGCCCGTAGAGTGCTTTGTGCAGGCGCAGTACCTTATTAGGGTTGTCGTTATCCAGGAAGCCAGGTGGTTGTCGAACATAGACGGTCTCCTTCAACTCTCCGTTAAGGAAAGCAGACTTTACGTCCATATGGTGAACCTCCCAAGAGTGATGTGCTGCAATTGCCAGCAAGAAACGAACGGATTCTAACCTTGCTACTGGCGCAAATACCTCTTCGAAGTCCACTCCTTGCTTCTGGACGTAGCCCTTCGCCACCAGACGAGCCTTGTGCTTCACAACTTCTCCTTTTTCGTTGCGCTTCAGTTTGAAGACCCACTTGAGCCCTATGGCTTGGTGTCCCGGTGGCATATCCTCCAGACTCCACGTCTGGTTCTCAATGATGAATGTCATCTCTTCCTGCATTGCCTTCCGCCAGCACGGGTTCTTTTCTGCTTCGGCGAAGGTGTTTGGTTCATCTGCACTGACGGCATGTAGTTCGGCCACTTCCTCGAGCTCGCGCGCTGCTAGTCCAGGTGGTTCATCTCCTCCCACTAGGTCATCCATCCTCCGGTACCTAGCCTCCAGATCAGTATCGTGATCGGCATCCAGCGTCGAATCCGCAGTCCGTGGTATTGCGAATTCCACTGGTTCAGGTGGTGCACCTGCTGGCGGCGGTGACGTCTCCTGATGCTGGGCTCCTCCTTCTTCA